ATTTTACCGGGAGCCAATGTAAGGAAGCTAAGACAGGAGTGATATGATCTCTCCTTCTAGTTCCTGTCAGCACTCGTGCTGCAGCATTTTGGACCAACTGGAGACTTTTAACAGTCTTCATGGAGCATCCTGCTAATAGYGAGTTACAGTAATCTAATCTAGAGGTTACAAACGCGTGGACTAGTTTTTCAGCATCCTGCTTAGACAGGATTTTTCTAATTTTGTTAATATTGTGCAGATATGACCAAATATCCCTCCCTTTCCCATTTACATTTAATATACAGACTGTTCCAATTCGAGGAGTCTTGGAGACCTTTGTATAATCTAGATATTAATTACTTTCCACTCCCAGATTTATATATTGAAACAAAAACCTCCAGGATATCACTTCTCTGGTCCTCTGTCAAAATTGTATTTAATCGATTCCTTACTTGGAGGTATCTGAAAAAATCCTGCCTCTCTAAATCATATTCCCTTTTGAGATCTTAAAAACTCTTCACAGACCCATTGTGTATAAAGCAGCAGTAAGCCATAAGGCCCCTTTCTGTCCACATTTTAAATCTATTGTCTGTCCTATTTGGAATAAAATCCATATAATTTCCTAACTACCTTGTGCCAGGTTTTTAGTGTTACTTTTATCCAGGGGTTATTCTTATTTGGAAGACTGCCTACAAGTTTTTTGTCTGCCATTATTGCCTGTAAGGGTGGACCCACAGAGCCTCCCTCTTCTATTTTCTTCCACCTGGCCCTTAACTGCGAGTCACAGAGATACCCCAAGGTTCTTATCTGAGCCGCATAGTAGTAATCTTTTAAATTAGGCAGCGCCATTCCTCCCTTGTCTTTTGATAACAGCATTACTTTAAATTTTACCCTTGGTTTTTTACCCATCCAGATATATCGAGAAATTAATTTCTGCCATTCAATGAACTGTCGATCACTTATTTCAATTGGTAGAAATAGGAAAAGATACAACAGGCGAGGCAAAATCACCATTTTGACTATTTTCAATCCTTGAAGTTGATTCCATCCATTCCATCCAGTGATTCCATCTGGAGATGTCAGACTTAATTTTAAGGTTGAGAGGAATATAGTTGGCTTCAAATAATTTTGTAATGTCTTGAGTAAGATTAAGTCCCAGATACTTCTTTGATTTACAACTCAGGCTGTATTTAGTCACCAAATCATCTGGTAGGTTAAAATTAAAGGTCATAGTTTGAGTTTTCTGAATATTTATCTTATAGCCTGATCATTTACCAAACATATCCAATGATGACATTAAAGTTGTTAGGGATGTTAACGGTTGGGATAAAAATATTAACATGTCATCCGCAAACAAGGATATTTTGTGTTCCTGCCCTGCTATATTTATACCCTTGATTTGCTTGTTGTGCCTAATGTATTGACTGAGGGGTTCTATAAAAATGGCAAAGATAAGTGGTGAACAGGGGCAACCCTGCCTACAGGAACGCTCCAAAACAAAAGAATTTGAGAGGCTGCCATTTATTTTAATTCTTGCTGTTGGATTGTTATATATAGCTTTGAAAGCTTCTATCAGAGTATAGTGAAAGCCAAATTATACAAAAAAGTCCATCTTACTGAATCAAACGCCTTCTCCGCATCCAATCCCATTAACATAGGTCGTCTGGTTTAAATGGATAAGAGATGGCAAAAGTTTTTCAACTCCCCTAGCCAATATTGACATATAAATGTTATAATCTAGGTTTAACACTGAAATGGGTTGATATTGGGTACGATTATGTACTTTCCTTCACGCAGGGCACCATTAAATGGTGTGCTTTTGGGCATTCAATAAATGTGGCTATCAGAGAAATATTGAATATTAATATTAAATAATAGTTAAACTGATAAAAGATAAATCGGGGCACCACCCTTCAAAGGAAGGGAAAAGATATCCAATTTATTGAATAAGTCTCATGAAATTACTAACTACAAATTTGGAACTCTGATCAATAATTAAATAAATAACTATAACCAAAATTACCACATCATTAGCTAGCAAAGTTGAAGGATATGGAGTTKTTGACAGTGTAGAGGTTGGCAAAATTCGCACTTATGCAACATTAATGAAGACGTGTTTAAAGAAAAACATTTATTATGAGAATAATAAAAGTATAAACACACAAACTAACAAAAGGTGTACTTACTATATACAGATGTGTGTGCGAGTATTATTTCCTCGTGCTGCAATATTTAAAGTACAGGCCTGATTTTTAAAGAAAATAAAGACAGAAGGAAACAATACAAAAACAATACTGGTAACAAAAACTCTGTGGTGGAGCACAGCCTGCTTGTGTTATGTGTGTTAGTGCACTTCTCAAGTCAGACTTTTCCAGGCGCAAAAACCCTGACATGCCACTAGGAGGCCACTAAACATTATTAAGACACTGACAGGAGTCAGAACAATAATCTTTCTAGAAGGATGCTGACTGGATATATGAATTTTACTGTTAGAGCCTATGTTCCTCCTCCCCTCTGATGATATGTGTCAAAATGGCCACGCTGCTGCTGTGTGCAAGGGAAAGCAGAGATCTGGAAGATGTAGTGGGGAGCATGCAAATGAGGAGTGTGGGAGTGACGCTATTGAACAGGCAGATGTTGAAACCTGCTAGGCTGGGGGCCTGTCTCACCTCCCCTGTTGCCAGTCTGGTTAGCTGCAGAGTCATTGATAGGGACCACCATTCATAGAAGTTTCACCCCTCATCCCAGAACATCTCATAGGGTTAGCTTTATATAGATGCTGGCCTTCTGTGCCTCCTCCGAAGAGCTGGCAAAATTATTAAGTATGAAAGACTTAAAGTATCTTGGGAAAAAATACAAACAGACCTAAGTCAAGGAGAAGGCACTTCAGA